AATGAAATAACCACAAATGTCTTTTCTGTGCTCACATCATTATTAGTTTTTATTCAACCCCCAAGTGACATTCAATCTTAGTACTTAGTACAACATCCTTTTACAGTTATAACAGCTTTTAAACGTGAAGCATAGCATGACACAAGTGTCTTGCAGCGATCTACGGGTATCTTCACCCATTCTTCATGGGCAAAAGCCTCCAGTTCAGTCAAATTCTTAGGCTTGCGCACTGCAACTGCTTTCTTTAAGTCCCACCAGAGGTTCTCAATCGGATTTAAGTCTGGTGACTGCGATGGCCACCCCAAAATGTTCCAGCCTTTCCTCTGCAACCATGCTCTAGTGGACTTGGAGGTATGCTTGGGATCATTGTCCTGTTGAAAGGTCCAACGTCTCCCAAGCCTCAGGTGTGTGACGGACTGCATCACATTTTCATCCAATATCTCCTGGTACTGAAGAGAATTCATGGTACCTTGTACACGCTGAAGCTTCCCTGTACCTGCAGAAGCAAAACAGCCCCAAAGCATTATTGACCCTCCGCCATGCTTCACAGTAGGCAAGGTGTTCTTTTCGTCATATGCCTTGTTCTTCCTCCTCCAAACATAGCGTTGATCCATGGGCCCAAACAGTTCTAATTTTGTTTCATCAGTCCACAGAACACTATCCCACAACTTTTGTGGTTTGCCCACATGACTTTTGGCATACTGCAGTCGACTCTTCTTATTCTTGGGAGACAGCAAGGGGGTGCGCCTGGGGGTTCTGGCATGGAGACCTTCATTACGCAGTGTGCGCCTTATTGTCTGAGCTGAAACTTCTATACCCACATCTGACAAATCTTTTTTCAGTTCCTCAGCAGTCACACGGGGACTTTTCACCACTCTACGCTTTAGGTAGCGCACAGCAGTCGAAGTCAGCATCTTCTTTCTTCCACGACCAGGTAGCATTTCAACAGTGCCCTTTGCCTTGAATTTGCGAATGATGCTTCCTATGGTGTCTCTTGGTATGTTTAACTTCTTTGCAATCTTATAGCCATTGCCCTTCCTGTGAAGACAAATCACCTCTTCTCTTGTCTTCCTGGACCATTCTCTTGACTTCACCATGTTTGTAACCACACCAGTAAATGTCTAGAAGGAGCTGAGTATCACAGTCATTTTAAAGCTGCCTAATTGGTGCTAATTATGCTTGATTGGTGCTCGGTGACATCCACAGGTGTTTTCAATACCTGATCGAAAACACCTGAATGAACCTCTCTTCTTCAGAGTGGTAGTCTTTAAGGGGTTGAATAATTGTGGCAATGAAGAAACCACAAAAGAAACATTTACTACTGTATTACATAAACAATTGATGTTATTTTAGTTGCATTTGGTTCTTTAAAACGTCCTTGTAGGATTTCATTCTGAATACAATTCCAAATGTACACTATAGTCCCTAAACCCCTTTACAGCATTGGGGGTTGAATAATTTTGAACACAACTGTATATATATGTAACCACCAATGCAACCTCTGCAGTCAGTTAGTAAACTACCTGCTGCAAATGCCTATTCGTACCACACTGAAATTGTGAAAGCACGCAGGCAAAGATTAAAAAAAAAAAAAAGAACTGCTGGGTTTATGACAAGGCTCTCTCATTTTGACTCAAAAACTAATAGGAATGTAACCACCAATGCAACCTCTGCAGTCAGTTAGTAAACTACCTGCTGCAAATGCCTATTCGTACCACACTGAAATTGTGAAAGCACGCAGGCAAAGATTAAAAAAAAAAAAAAGAACTGCTGGGTTTATGACAAGGCTCTCTCATGTTGACTCACAAACTAATAGGACTGGCAGGTAGAAGCAAAGGCTAGTGTGTCAACATACATGTTTAGTGAACAGGAATTATGCTGTGCAGTTTCACACATTGTGCTTACTTACATCTTACTTTCCATGCACCCACATATTTCCTTGGCCTTTTGGGCTGAAAAACTGAGGGAACATGTCTGGAACCTTTAAAAGATGTTTGATATTGTCTTGCTCTGACTAATGAAATATGGGTGTCTCTAACTGCACATATAAAGGTATCCTCTTGTGAGATTACCTATAACCATAATCTGTGACACTGTAAATCATTATATTTGACAAGGAATGATGGATAAGGTATCAGATTTTGTTTCTATTTTCTTGGTTTTGTGGAATTTCATCTAACACAACTTTAATTCTCAGTTAATGTTGTAACAACTTTAATTCAGCAGTAGAGATGTAAAATCTCCAAAGTTTTCATTTTTTTCAGGAAAAAAATGGCAAATTTCCCCCCCAGAAAAAATGGAATTTTTTGGAAATTTTACATCTCTATTCAGCAGGTTCTTTGATCACTGAATTTCTCGAGTTTATGACAACGAAATATATCATTACAGTGATATATCCTAATGCCACTATTTTTAAAAAATAATCAAGCAAGTGCACAAGTGTGACTTACTACCAGGACCCTTGCTAACTATGCATGTTCTGATTTTACTAGCAATCTGGACTGCCATTCTATTAATTCTATTTGTCATATTCACATATCAGATTCAACACAACAATCTGTTTGAAAAATTCTTAATGGGATTATGGATACTAAATCTAATCTTAAAACAGGCTTTATATCACCTTACAAGATTTATACATTCCATTAACAGAGACCAAACCTAACTAACTCAACTTAAATGAACATTCCATTAAAATAGTGGGAAACAGAAGTGGTTTTTTCTTGCAAAACAAATCAATTACTTCATCTTCATCATCATAAAAGTACCAACTTCAAGAAACTAGAAAGTCCAGATTTCAAACTTTGCCCCTAACTGTTGATATAAATAACTTAATCTATCCTACTCCTAAACTCATGATTTACAATGAAACAGTAACAGTGCCAAGATTGACACATGGAATGAAAATGAAGGTGTAATGAAAAATATCACATTCAGAAACTGATTAATGTATCATCATATAAGCCAAATAGGATAGTGATGGGACAATGTTCGCTGAAATCCTGCTGTGCAGCTCTACATGTGCAATGGTGACAATGTCATTAGCACTAGGAAATCACCACTGATTAAAGACTTCCTTCTGGGATTTTGAAGTGCACACAACTTTGTCACATTGTGTATGAATTATGTGCACCCTGAAATCATCTTTAATCAGCAGGTTTTTCACTAACGATGGTCTCATCATTGAAGCCAGTATATGTCTGTTACCACAAATGCATGAAAAACTGAATCCTAACTAATAAACATGTCGGATAAGAGAATAAAGGACAAGGATCTTGTGCCCTTAACCAACAGTCAAAAACCCTCTTTTACCAGCAATTGAAAAGTACAGCACTCTTGTCTTCCAACAGCAGTGAGTGTAACTTTTACACCTCTTCTAGGGCTTTCAGCATGATTACATAATACAGGCCAGGAAATTTTAAAGGAACCTCCTTTTTGTAGTACAACTTTCTACTAGTTGTGGTATTTTCACAAATAAATGTATAAAAAAATGACAATTGATAACGTTGATTTCCACTGAACTTCTTTCATATGCAATTATCTATCCTTTTCTTAACTAAACCACTATGCAGCATTAAGTCCATTCCAATGTATGGCAACCCTTCTCAGTTTTCCAAATGCAAAATACTAAGAAGTGGCTTACCACTGACTTCTTTCATAAAAAATCTGGAAATATGTAACTTGCCCAAAGCCACACAGATTGGGTCTATTTTCCAGAAGCATAGTGATGAATGAAACTCCAGGCCAGGTGTTCTAGTAGTTCACTGAGCTATGTAGTATAGGTTAAAAATGTTCCATTCAGACTGAATTAAATTGAAGTACAAGATGTTACAATGCCAAATAATAAAAACACATTACCCACAAAGTATCCAGATAAAGTGTACTTTACTCTCCAAAATATGTACACTTCTTTTGTTAACTGCAGTCAACAACATTCTACATATTCCAGCTCTGCCATCTTCACACATTTTGAGATAGGTTCCTAACACCAAGTCAGCAATTTTGTATAGTTCTACTATATTTTAAAATACACTTTTATAGACAATTTAACAGAAATGTAACTTCTAAAACTAATTATATAACTACACATCAAAATTCATGATAAACTTTTTACAAGGCCATATATGATTAAGTAGAATATAACTGCTCTCTGGAGTGCCCAAAAATGTCAAAGTCTTTAATCATGCCTTCTGCGGCTTATAAAATGCTAAACTGACATTATCTGTAGTCTATTAAAAATCTGTTTTAAAAAAACGTAAATTACTTTTGTTTGTGTTGCAGCAAATAGCAAATTCTATTTATTTATTATAATTCATTTTCACCTCTTATCATTCTCTAAGAGCATTAGCCAGATGTTTTTCCAAACGTCCTATACCAATGGTCAAACTACCGGACCTGGAAAGCTAAACGGCACCGTACTCACGAATTTCAATCGTAACTGCAAGCAAGGTTTCTGCAATCTGTGTTAAAAGGAAAGGAATTTCCGGCTGTCGAGGTGATCTTTAACTAAAAGCCCGCTAAAATCGACTGAGAAATCGGACAAAAGGGGAAGAAAAGCCTGCTTCCTTTTAGAACCGCATTTGCTTTTTTGCCCTTCAGTCTTTCCCCAACAGCGATCCAAGGAGGAGAGAGATCCCGTTAAGTACGGGTAAGGTAGTGCCTCCAAGGGGAGAATCCCACCCCGATCACCTTCCCCGTCCTCTTCCTCGAAACACTCATTATGAACCACTCTTGAAAAATTCCTCTCAAGAGATGCGCACGTTGCGGCCCCCCCCCGCCAACGAGCTTTTCTCTCCCCGCATTTCGAGGGGTCGGGGAGGAAAGAAGCGTGTCCTCCCCCCTTCCTTCCCCCTCCAGCTCCCACCGCGTTCATCCAGAACGTGGCCTGGCCATTTCTCAACAGCGGCTCCCACACGGCCGGGCTCGAAGAACCTGAGCCTCCCTCGCAGCGCCGCCCTCCCTCCCCGAGGCTTCCACGCTCCCCGCCGCGGCCTCTTTACCTGCTTGTTTCTTGGGTAAGGCTTCTGGGAGGCCGCTGCCAGATGGTACCGCCGAGTCCGGATCTTCCCGCCGCCGCCGCCTGCCCCACCTCCTCCTCCTCCTCTTTCTTCGCCGCCGCCGCCGCCGCTGCTTTCTCCTGAATCCATCTTGGGACCTCTCCAAGTCTCCCTCCCGCCCCTCAAGCGCTCGGCGCCACAAGAGGCCCGGCCCGGCCTGGCTTGGCCCGACCCGGCCTCCCGCGCGCGCGCGCCCTCCCTCCCCTCACGTTGGCCCTCTCCCTTCCTCTCGCCCCCAGCCCCCAAGGCCGTTCTGTGCTGTCACTATCTCTATGGCGATGGCCCCCGCCGCGCCCTCGGCCTGGCGCCCTCCCCCAGATTTCCCCTCACAAGCTCCCTCTCTCGCTGGCAGGCAGGCTGGAGCGCGCGCGCGCGCGCCGAGTCCGTCTCTGCCGCTCCACTTTCCCCTCCCTTTCCTCCTCCTCTCCTCCCCCCCACCACCAACCCCCCGTCACCGTCTAGCTCGCTCGCTTGCCCGCCCGCGATTCCCCTCCTTCCCTCCTAGCCGCCCGACCAACCAGAGGGCACACGCCCGTACAGGACTGCATCACCAAATCGCGACCCGTCCTGGTGCACCATCCTAAGTCGCCTTCCTGGGGGTTGGAAGGCTCTCATGGGAAATGTAGTTTAGAGCGAGGGCGGCTACGCTGGATAGACGGGTACTTCCTCTCCGCCCCGTGCAATAACTGCCGTCACGCGTTCGGGCATTTTCTAGTCTCGCGGTATATTGTGTTAGCGAGGCTGGCGTTCAGTAATCTCGAATTCGAATAAACCGAGTTGATCGAAGGGGAGCGATTTCCGCCTGCGAGTGGATGGAAGCCTATTCCCAGGAATTCCAGGGTGGGGACTAAACTACAAAATTATATTTTAGCATCACTTTCTACAAGAGAGTGAATTTCTACGTAGTAATAATTAAGGTAATAAAGATTTGGGATTCTGGAAGCCGAAGCACACACATCCCTTTGCCGCATGGGTAGAAGCCCCGATGGCTTATTAGTTTATTTGAGGCCAGTTGTCCAAGCGTTTTTTCGGATTTCAGACCGCGGAACTGTGTTTCTTTGTCGTTTGCCTACCCGGTAGGTCAGCCTTGTGAGAAGATTCAAGTGCTGCTCATTGCAGTGGGAGAGCGTGGTACAGTATTAGAAAACTGTGAGGTGGCAGATTCTCTCCGCCCTATGGCTTTCACGGGAACCCTGTTTTAACTTTCCTTTTAGAATTTAAAATAATTAACTTCAGTTGTATTCTCCCTTTTGTCTGTCACATATCTTAATAGAACTGTTAAACTTACCGCAGTTATTAAGCCAAAACAAGCAAAACACCTGCACGAGACATACTGTACTGTAAATTATGCTCTACTTGTCTAAGCAAAGAGCTGATGAAATAAAATCTTGCAGAGTAATAATGAAAACCAACATTAGGACTGGGAGAATGGAAGATTGTTGCTGGTATAAAGCAGGGATGGGCAACCTCCAAAGGTGTGAAGTCCGCTCATGCTCACACCAGATCTAAGAGTGCTGCACACATTAATATATTAAAAAAAATTACCTTTAAAGGGCATCTAAATTCTCATGCTCTCTAGTAGTTATTCTTAAAGAATTTCAAATTTATTTGGGAGGTGTGAGGGAACCCAGGGGCTCTGCCAGTAAGGCAGGAAATGGACTTCCTGAGCAAACAACCTTTGGAAGTGGGTGATTTAAGACCTCTGGAGCACTGGAAGCTGCCTTGGGTCTCTGGTTGTGTGTGTGGGGGGGTCACACTTCCTCCCCAGCAAGTCGTGGCATACACATAACACCGTAACCCTGCATTAATTTACCTGAAACTAAACTGATCGGATTCAGTTTCAGATTTTGACAACTCCTCGTAAACTGTGATCGGATTCAGTTTTAGATTTTGACAACTCATTTTGCATGGGAAATACCACAGGAGCCGTCTACTTAACTTTCATAACTTCATCTTTATTGGTTACAGGCAGATCAATATTATTCATAATTGGATCAAAAAGGATTAACTCGACCAACATGCCATAACTGTCCGACACAAATTCCCACCCCACATCCATCAAACTCATGGGTGCTGGGCCAAACTTCTCCGCGTCAGTGGATTTCCAAAGGGGAACATTCCGCACTGCACAAATGGTGCCACAGCATGGGTGCCGGGCCCAGTCTCCTTCTGGAGGAGGGGTGTTATAACGAGAGTCCATGTGAATCACTTGATGTCCCTTTACTATTATTCTTCGGGAGGACCATGACACACCATTCCAGCATCTCTTGTCTCACCTTGCCTGCTTCCTTTGGTTTGGGGTCCGGTAGTAACCCTCCTAATTTAAAATTCGGAAAATCCCGTAATAACTCCTGCGAGTTTACTCTTTCGTACTCCTGCAACCTCTCTAGCTCTCTCTCAACTCCAGGTCTGCCTCAAACCGTCACTCTCCCTGATTATTTATATCCTCTTCCGAGACTGACAAATTTTGCTGCTCCCTCTTCTGACTCCCACTCTTCTCCACCAGACATATTTCGAATTTGCTGCCTCGCTCTGTTTTCTCTCCTTCTATAGCTAAGTTCTCCTTTAGGTCCACCTCTACATCAACACTTTCCGGCTTCTTAACTGCCTCTTTTCTTTCTCGTGGGATGACACACTCTCTCCAGGACTTCCTTCACACACACCCCCGACGAGTTGGCCATCTCCTCTGCGGGTGGGTTTTTTTCCCATTTCCCTTGTCAGGAAGAATAGTGCGCATTAGCGTGTGCAAGTCCCTTTTTGTATTTTACCTTGAAGGCATAAGGTTGTAAGCTCAGATACCACCTAGTAAGTCGGGGTTCCAATCTTTTATTCTATTCAACCACTGAAGGGGTGCATGATCAGTAACCAATGTAAACGGCCCCCTAATAGGTAAAACAGTGTCTAAATTGCTCATTTGGCAGCCAGTGCCTCTTTTTCTATGGTAGAATACTTCTATTCTCTTGGTGATAATTTTTTACTCAGGTGCATCATGGGGTATTCTATTCCTTCCCATTCTTGTGCCAACAAGGCCCCTAGACCGCATTCTGAGGCATCTGTCTGTACCACGAAGGGGCTCTCAAAATCGGGTGCATATCTACTGGGCAGTTCACTTAATATGGCTTTCAGTCTCTCAAATCCTTGTTGCTCTTGGAAACCCCATCGTACTCACTTAGATGCCCGTTTCTTAATCAAGTCCGTCAAAGGTGCTGCAATCACTGCAAATTTGGGGATAAATTGTCTATAGTAGCCAGCCAAGCCAAAAAATTGTTGCACTTCTCTTTTACTCTGTGGTACTTTCCAATCCGTAATCCTCTCTGCCTTCTCAGGTACTGGCTGTATTCTCCCTTGATCTATTTGGTATCCTAAAAAGGTTACCCCCTTTCTAGTGACTACACTTTCTGGGATTCACCCTGAGGCCTGCCTTCCTCAGCTCCTTCCAAACTGCCTTGAGATGAGTCAAATGTTCCTCCCAACTTCTACTATATATATATCAAGATGTCATCAATATAAGCACCAGCGAATTGATGGACCGGCTCTAACACCTTATCCATTAATCCAGACCTGGGCAAAGTGTGGCCCACGGGCCACATATGGCCCGAGAGCCGCTCCTGTCCGGCCCACCGGTCTTCGCTCCAGTCCGGCCTGCCAATCGCCGCTTCTGTCCGGCCAGCCCATCGCCAGCCGCTGAGTGAGCCGGAGCTCTGGCTCCAGTACCCAGCACGGCAGTAAGCAAACCTCTCGAGATCCGACACTGAGATCTCACGAGTTTTGACTGTTACTCTTGAGCCACAGGCTGCAAAGCCTGCGGCTCAAGAGACCGGAAGCGATCCTTGGGCAGGCAACGTGATGGCGCATCATGTCACTTGCGCGGGATAGAAGACAGTCGGAGAGGAAGGCCACGGGGGAATGGAGGACAGGTGAGTTAGCTCAGTGTCAGGGTTTTTTTTTCCTCCTCCCCCCCCAGCGGTGAACAAATTACAATGCTCACATAGTTAACTCCTAAAAAGTTTAGGGAGTTAACTATGTCAGCCTTGTAGTTCTTTCACCACAGGGCCTCACCCAATGGGGGCCTATTACTACCCACAAATTGGGGGCCTATTACTACCCGCCCCCGAACACAGTTCAGATTATTCATATGGCCCCCTATAGAAATTAATTGCCCACCCCTGCATTAATCTCTGAAATGTCGCCACTGCTCCGTGCAACACAAATTGCATGCGGGAGAAATGGAATAGCCCTTTTGGGGTCACAAAGACTGTCTTTTCCTTATCTTCCTCTTTCAGAGGAATTTGCGAATAACCCTTCGTGAGGTCCAGTATTGTCAGAAATTAAGCCTGACTCAGTCATTCCAATAGGTCATCTACCTTTGGCATAGGATAAGCATCAAATTTTGATACTTCATTCAACTTTCAGAAGTCTATGCATAACTGTACCTTCCCATCTGCCTTAGGCACTACCACTGGATAGCTTTTCCAAGGAATTCTTGAAGGCTCTATCACTCCCATCTCTAACATCTACTTCTCTGTTAATAGTTTCTTTCAGGTGTTAAGGCCAACTCCATCCACCTGATCTGGCTACTACATTCGGTTTGTTATTTATCTGGTGTTCAATTAAGGTTGTATAGCCTGGCTTATCTGAAAACACATCTTGGTACTTAGCCTCCAATTCGCTAACCTGGTCTATCTGTTCTTTCGTCAAGCCCTCTTCTAATACAATGTTGGATGTTCATTGTGGGTAGATTAATGCTTCAGGCCCCAGGTCTTCCTCTTCTATCTCTCCCCAGAGGGCTTCTCTTTCTTGCCATTCTTTCAACAAATTTACATGGAAAATTCCCTTTTTATTCTTATCTGGCACTTTTACTTCATAATCTATTTTTCTTATAACTTCGTAAGGACCCTGCCACCAGGCGGATAATTTTGCATTCTGTGCTGGTAGCAAGAGGACTTTTTGCCCTGGCTGAAATTGTCTGGGTCTAATATTTTGGTCATACCTTCTCTTTTATCCCTGTTGTACAGTCACCAGATTTGTCTTGGCCATTTGTGCTACCTTATTCAGGTGTTCCTTCATTTCTGTCACATGCTTTACTACTGTTTGCGCCTCATCTTTACCACTTTCCCATTTTTCTCTTACTGTCAAGTATTCCCCTGGGATTCCACCCATGCATAATTTCAAATGGGGAAAACCCGGTGAATGCCTGTGGTACCTCTCAAACTGCAAACATGAGGGGTGCAACCAACAAATGCCATCATTTAGGCTTGTCTATAACCAATTTCCATAACATCCCCTTTAATGTCTTGTTGAACCTCTTGACTAGTCCATTGGTCTGAGGATGATAAACCGCCGTATGCACAGGCCTAACCTCTAATAACCTCCACATCTCCTTCAGGGTTTGGTTCATTAAATTTGTGCCTTGATCAGTCAACACT